TCAGAAATGTATTGCGTAACCAAACTTCAAGAAACCTTTTTCATATTACTTAATACTGAGGCGGAACGGATTCCGCGGGGTCACTTAGTTAAAGATTGAGGTATCTATTATTGGATTTACAATGTAAAACTATATATTGTGTGTCATCATCTCAGTCCGGAAGACGTCCACTGCTGGACAAAGGCCTCCCCCAAAGATCTCCACGACGATCGGTCCTGCGCTTCTCGCATCCATCGCCTTCCAACGATCTTGATCAGATTGTCGGTCCACCTTGAATAGAATAGAATAGAAAATCATTTATTCAAATAAACTTACATTGAAGCACATTTTTTTAATCTACCGCTCATTCGGAAAGCTGTCTCATCACAAGAAGAACGAGCAAGAAACTTGCGTGTTGCTCTTTTAAATAATTTTATTATTACTTTCAATTTTTAAGTTTAAGTGTGTGAATACAAACCACCAATTAACACTAATTCAATTCAATACTCAAATAGAAAAAATATTGAATATATAACCAACTGGTTAAACAATTAATAAGAGGAAATCAGTCATAGTGATTAGAGCAGACCAGTCCCTACAAGCAGCACCCGTTCACGAGTACGACGGATGAGCCAGCCATCACTGCGCTCGACCATATTTTAGGGAGTCGATTGACCCGGCCCACCACGCCGCCACAAGTCTGGACATTTTAGTGACTTGCTGAGGGCCTTCCCACGCTGCGTCTTCCAGTCCGTGGTCGCCATTTTATTGACTAAATTGTATGTGAATTGTAAAAGTTGTTGATTATCTAAAATAAATAAATAAATACAGTTTCTCTGGTAGAAAATACCGCCATATATATATACTTTTACCTTGATATTTCGTGCATTGAAGTTATATAAATAAAATAAATAAATAAGTAATGTCAGTACAATTCACAATTGTCCTGAGATTATTATTATCATCCCCATCCTTGACCTATTAACTGAGTTTCATAATTGTTCCATCATTTATCTTTCCCTCTTATATCTAATTAACATTCTCATTTCTTGTTAATTGACTCGTCTATACAGTGACGTCATCGCCTCGTTATGAGACGGAACCAATAAAATTTAGGGGTCATCAATAAATTGCTCCACAATACATACTTATTTTGATAAATATTTTTAATGGAATGGTGCACCCGCCTGCGCTAACGGTTTACGCTGGCGGGGCACCAGTTAATAATAATAATAATAATAATCTCAGGACAATTCACACAGCGCCATCTAGACCCAAGTTAAGCTAGCTAAAGCTTGTTTTATGGGTACTAGACAACCGATACATATACATAGATATTTTTTTGTAAATACATACATATTATATATAGAAAACACCCAGACCGGAACAAACAATAATACTCATGAATGCAAATGCTTACACCGTACCAGAATCGAACCCGCGACCGTCGGAAATAAAGCGTTGTGCTAAATCGCTAGACCAACGAGATACAAGTTAAAAGTAGGTAAATCGCTATAATTGCAGAATAGTAACTCTGTGATAATTATCTCGTGATATTGTGAACTGCAAATTGCATATAATTATACAATTCACAATTTATGACCTTACATGCGCACAAGAGTCAAGTTCAATTAAGTCAATACTCACAACAATATATATATATATATGTACGTCTGTATATAAACTTCCTATTTATACATACTAGTGATCGCTCCGTGGTCGCAATTCGACCATAATTAGTTTAAATTATATGAACCTGTTCAGTAGTTTTCGCGTGGAAGAGTGACAGAAAGACAGACAAATTTACTATCGCATTTATAATAGTAGTAAGCATTTATAACAACCCGATGTAGCTAAGTTTAGTGTATGTAGAGTGAATTATTTACACTCATTCAAATTCAAATTCAAAAATCATTTATTCATGTAGGACATTTTAGCCGCTTATGAACGTCAAGTTTTTACATTATAATTTTTTTCCCTACCGTCCAGTTCGGTATATAGATCCAATTGAGAAGAACTGGCAAGAAACTCAATTGAATTACTTTTTTTATAAAATCCATGTAAATATTTATATTACAATGCATAGGTATTTATATGGGTGTATATGTCTAACATTAAATGAAAATCCCGAACATGAAAACTATTGCCATGCACGCTCGTCATTCAAGTAATCGTTTAGTGAGTAATAGGTCTTGCTCAGTAAATATGATTTAACAGATGTTTTGAATTTATTTAAGGGTAATTCCAATATATCCTTTGGTATCTTGTTGTAAAATTTTATACCTATTCCCATAAAAGACCTATTGACTTTTTCATTCATAATGTACATACTTTGTGTATCTGGCCCGCCTGCGCTAACGATATACGCTGGCGGGGCACCAGTGGAGGATGATAAGATGAACATGAGGTCAGATCAGTTTAACTATCGTGGGGAATTTACTAGATTTTGACTACAATGGTTTCTAGGGGGGACCGCGTGAAGGTCAACTTCCCATGCAATTATATATATTTAATCAACAGCCTAAAATATAAGTTTCAAAGTTCTAGCCTTAAAAATGACGATACTTCCATACAACCTCTCCCCTTTCAACCCCTTACAACCCTTTTTCGCATTAAATAGTAGCCTATGTACTTTCCAGGGTCTAGACTAACTGTCTACCAAATTTCATTTAAATCGGTTCAGTAGTTTGGGCGTGAGAGCGTGACAGTCAGCCGACGTAGCTCAGTTTAGTGTAGTGAATTATTTCCACTCATAATGTACATACTTTGTGTATCTAATGTAAATATAATTAACACAATATATTAATACAAGGAACTGTGATAGGCCCCGCACTCTATCAAGTTGAATAACAATAAGGCTGCTGATATACAGTCGGTTATTTTTTATTAGGTACGATAATGGTTTGCTACACCCGCTTACGCTAACGGTATACGCTGGCGGGGCACCAGTTGAGGATGATAAGATGAACATGAGGTCAGGTCAGTTTAACTATTGTGGGGAATTTACTAGATTTTGACTACAATGGTTTCTAGGGGGGGCCGCCCTATCCTATCCTCATTACTAACAATCTCCCACCCCACACAGTCTGTTATTCAGTAGCTATATCCTAACCATTGAGGAATGTGTTACATATGGATGTGGATGGTTATAAGAGCAGAGGAAGAGATGGGTGGACTGCGTGAAAGATGATATGGTAAGAAAGGGAGTAAATAACGAGATGACTGCGAACAGAGATGAATGGAAGAGAAAACATATTACGTCGACCCCAAATATATATGATAAGGCTTTGATGACTACCATATGCTATATAGCTTTATCGGGATGTTATCTTGTTAGCATTCGGATAACCTGACGACTGAGTGTATATTACCAGCCTATTATGTATGTTATACTACTGCTTCCTCTGACTGCGCTTGTATTCGTTTAATAATAAATTATATATTGGACTTAATATTACTTAGAGGAATGATTTACGATTATATGATCTTATTTGTAAGAGTAAATATATAAAATAACTAGCTTTTGCCCGCGGCATCGCTCGCGGTAATTTATCCCCTTAGGGGTGGAATTTATCAAAATCCTTTCTTAGGGTCTGCCTACGTCATAGTAGATTTATGCATGCAAAGTCTCAGCCCGATCGGTTTAAAATTGACAAAGTTTCATACGAACTTTCATCCCCTATTTTATCCCCTTGGGGGTAGAATTCAAAATCAAAATTCTTTCTTAGCGGATGTCTACGTCATAACATCTACCTGCATGCCAAATTTCAGCCCTATCCGTCCAGTGGTTTGGGCTGTGCATTGATAGATCACTATGTCAGTCACCATTGAGTTATATATATATTGAAGATTTAAATCTTTGTTCTCTTGCTATTTATTTGCGTTAAAATAATACAATAATATAAAAGGAAAAAATAGTAGTAGTAGTACTGTACACTGTATTCACTATTTATCCCTTTTATATTAGAGAGAATAAATTTAAATTAGAGACTATTATGAAAACGTTAGTTACGTTATAACGTTATTAAAACTATTCCCTAAATAGATCTTTACTATTATGTGACGTTGATTCGCTTTTTTTACAATTATATTATACTATAATAATAGGAAATCTGTTCATTTTTGTTACGTCAATTAAGTAGAATATGATTGACAGCATAACCGCAAATAATAATATGTTTAAATAATTTACATAACGTAAAGGTCCCATGTAGTATATAAGGTTGATACATAATGTGACAAATTAGATGGAAATATTTTCATTGATAAGTTAACATCAAACGTGTATATTGCACTTTAAAATTATACCTTCGAGTTAAGATAAATAAAAATACTACATACTTCACTCGAAAGGAAAAATAAGAATCTTAAAATACTATTAACGTCAAGACAAAAGTTTATTAGTATCGCAATTACCAGAAACGTATTCTTTTTAATGATAATGTAAAAACATGTATAATCAACTTTTTCGGACTACTCTAATGCTGTTGCCCCCAGCTGACCTTTACATCTACACCGGACGATAGGGAGCGAGTGCACATGGCACTCCAACACCCACGGAAGGACTTACGGAGCGGCTGAAGGCCAACTCCCACCTGACGGATACGACTTTAGTCTGAGGGCACCGCTAAGAGCTCGAACTTCGGCTCAGGCCGTCGTAATATGGATCCCCATTTGAATTAGAACTAGGGATCGATCGGAGAGGGACATATAATCAACAAACTGCTGCAGCTTATACGTTAATCAAAAACGAAAACATAGCGCGTTTTAGAAATTGAACAATGCCATCTAGTGACAAAAATAAAAAACCTCAATTTATAGAAGAAGATTGAACAAAATAATGACAGTGTTCCAAAACTTCAAACAATTCCTACAGTTTAAATAGCGTTTCTAATATTATTGCAACAAACGGACGCATTTACACAACTATGTTATGTAAATACAATGCATCGTATAGACATACATAACGTAATTGCGTTTCCTAGCGTAGGTACTTTATAACATTGCTATCAGTCTGTACAATGCCGCTTAAAGGACGAGCAATAAACATCCTGCTTCTGTCGTCGATTGTAATTCTTTTCTACGCGATAAAAACGCGGCCGTTCGTTATAAGAAATGAAACGAAACAAGATTGGGGATATCCTAAGGACTCCTTGCTGAACTTCACAGAACTAACGATGGAATATGGATACCACTCAGAGGAGCATACGGTGTTAACAGAAGATGGCTATTTGCTCAAAATTTTCAGAGTTACCAAAGCTAAAAACTGCAAGGGAAGGAAAAGATCTCCGCCCGTGATTCTGATGCATGGACTGCTGCAGAGCTCTGATTCTTGGCTGGATGCTGGTCCAAACGCTGGACTAGCGTATCTCATTTCTGACGCTTGCCACGATCTATGGGTAGCTAATTGTCGCGGAAACTACTACTCGAGAAATCATTTGGAATTGGATCCGGATAAGAATTCGCAGTTTTGGAAGTTCTCTGTAGACGAAATTGGATTTTATGATGTACCATCTACGATTGATTATGTTTTGAGACACACTGGAGTGGAAAAGGTGAATTATATTGGTTTTTCTCAAGGCGCAGGTACGTTTTTCATAATGTGTTCTGAAAGACCTGGGTATTGTGAGAAGGTGAACGTTTTGATAACTTTAGCGCCCGCTGCAAGACAAACTAATACCAAATCAGTTCCGTACAGACTATTGACAGCAGCTATTATGAATATAGAAGGATTATTGAGGAAATACGAGATATATGAGATCTTCTCTAAAGGTTCGTTTGGTCAAGAATTTTTGGCTTTCTTCTGTCAGCTGAATTGGCTTTCCGGAAGAGTCTGTAGTACAGGCCAGTCGATGTTGGATGCCTTCCACCCAGAATCAGTGGCAGAACATACAACACGGTCGTTATTTGGACATTTTCCAGCAGGAACTTCTGTGCACAATATGGCTAGGTACGGACAAAGTATGGTGAGCGAAGATTTCGCGAAATTCGATTATGGTGCTGATAATTTTAAGGTTTATAATAGTGATTATCCTCCATTGTACAATTTAAGTGCAGTGTCGATTCCTGTAGTGACAATTTATGGGAAGAACGATGGATTAGTGGATGTTAAAGATGTGGAATGGCTTAATGACAAGTTGCCGAATGTTGTTGAATCATTTTTAGTGGAAGACCCGTATTGGAACCATTTAGATGTCACATACAGCCGGCACACTAGTGTATTAGTGTTTCCAAAGATAAATGAGTATTTACTACGCTATAGTGTAATCCAAAACCTGAATAGAACAGGAAATTGACTTTCATAAGAAGTATTTGACGACCTCGATGGTCTAGTGGTTTAGCACACCGCTTTACGTCCGATGGTCGCGGGTTCGATTCCTCGCACGGCACAAATATTTGTATTCATGAGTATGATTGTTTGTAGTTGTCTAGTTGTCTAACACAGAGTTTAGCTAGATTAAATTGGGTCTAGATGGCGTTGTGTGAATTGTCTTGAGATTATTATTATTATTATTTATATATTTTGTTTTCTCAGTTTTTTATTCTTCTTATTATTATTATTTCCTGTGATATTTTGTATGTTATTAATATAGTTAAACGGGTTTTAACATGAATAATTTTATGGTAAACTAGCATATTCATTTTTGGTCTCCATAAGTATGACTACATTCCCAATTTCCGCAGTAGACTCAAGTGCCTTCCCATGCGTCTTCGCAGGAATTTTCATAGAATAGAATAGAATAGAATAGAATAGAAAATCATTTATTCAAATAAACTTAATTTAAGCACTTTTGAATAGTCATAACAATTTGTTTTTTATCTACCACTCGTTCGGAAAGCTGTCTCATCACAAGAAGAACGAGCAAGAAACTTGTGTGTTGCTCTTTTAAATAATCCTTGTAAGTTTACATTTACAAGTCGAAACGTGTGAATACAAACTACCAACAAGCACTATTTTTTGGGTCAAATATAAATATGCAATAAGATTAAATCAGTCATATACTATACTATACCCTCCTTTACTCTATTCTTTTCCACCCCTCCACCCCTGAATATCTAAAAACAAAGTTCCATTTTCATACTAAATATCCCGGATGCTGCTTTGCGTAGTACCAGAAGCCTATATTTGACGATTCCTGCTGACTCCTCCACATATTATTCCAACTCCTTCACTGTCCCATCCTTGTCAAGGGGAGTGCTAACCGTCTCTCCTTTCAATAGACACGATAAAAGTTGTTGGACGAACGAAAAAAATATATATACTTAGATAAGGATTATTTCTATTCAGAAAATCTAGAATTTTTAGTACAGAAAAAGGCTCAGGTCTCACGGTTCTTTATTCCCTTTTTCTTATATAAATAGGTATTAATCCACATCCGCTAGCTGATTTTAATATTTCCCTTTTTTTAATTGGAAAAACATTAATCCTAAGTTGATGCTAAAGATTTAAAATCAACGATTTCTTTCTTTGTATTTAACCGACTTAAACTAAAGGGTGAAAACAAGGATTGGTTGTTAATTTTTTTGTGTAATTTGAACGGCAAACGAGCTGGAGGTCTGATGGTAAGTGGTAGTCATTATATAGTACTACATACGTTACAATATGGTACTCGAGACTACTGTAATCTATATATACAAAAACCAGCTGTACCCGCGACTTCACCGTGGAATTTGACTTTATTTATTTAAAATATAAAAAAAAATCTAAAATAAAAGTAACCTAAGTTACTCCGTTACATCAGCTACCTGCCAAAACAAGTCCCGTCAAAATCGGTCCAGCCATTTCAGAGATTAGTCGGAATGAACGGACGGACAGACGAAAATTGTAAAAAATGTTATTTTGGTGTATTTAACGTAATTATATTCATATGCATGTAGTAAAAAACGGTTATTTCAATATTACAATCAGTCCAATTTTATTTATATGTATAGATTAATTAATTAATGATAAGCTAAACGCTGATGTAATAAGAAGTAAGTTAGGCTACTTTTATTTTAGAAAAATAAAGTTAAATTCCACGCGGACGAAGTCGCGGGTACAGCTAGTTAATTAATACAGCCTTTATTCAGATATCCGTTATATTTACATTTACATTATATATTTTCTACCATATATATATCTATGTCTGTTTGCTAACAACTACTGAATGGATTTTGATGAAACTTTACAGTAATATAGCTTATACATCAGAATAACACAGGCTATAAATGTCATGCGAGTGAAACCGCAGGTACAGCTAGTATAAATATATATTTAATTATCAATACCAATACAATAGTGAGAAAACTATGTGAGGATTCTCGTAGAACTGTTAGGAATGCTTGCAATGTAGGAATCGCGTTGTCCCAACATTTCTTCAATATTTGTATTACGCCATAGAGCAAGAATCGTTGATAGAGATATAGTAGATATAGTATAACGCAAAAAAATGCTATAAATGTAATATAGAAACAGATACTTTAAAGAAGAAATTAATGAGAAGATGGGAGTCGTGTCGTATCAAGAATTAAAGAGCACGATGGAAGATCGCGGAAAATGACAAGAGCTCCACTAACAAGAGCGTAGCTCTTAAATTATGAATGAATTAATACATAACATATAGGTTATGTATTATACATATGTACATTATAATATATGTTATGTATTCATTCATTTATAATTAACCCTAACCTACTACTACCCTAACCCTTACTAATATTATAAATTTGAAAGTAGAGATGTTTCTTACGCTTTCACGCACAAACTACTGAACTGATCATCATGAAATTTTGTACACATGTTCTTAGAGGTATTACAATGAACATATGATACTTTTTTTTTTATTAAAAAAAATTTTTTTTTATAAAAATTAACATTTAGCTACTTCAGCGCCATCTAGCAGCTAGCAATGAAGTTATTTAATGGATTCGATGCGAGCGAAGCCGCGATTAAAAACTAGTATTATATAAATAATAATATTTTGGCCGCAGCTGATCTTTACAGCTTCACCAAATGATAGAGGGCGAGTGCAGATGGCACTGGAGTCGCGAGGTTCCGTTATCATTCCACCACGACTCTGGAGGCGTTGTTCCCACCCTGTAGATGGTGTACAGGCCTTATCTCGTTGTTAGGGCGACCTGTCTCGCCCTTTCAATTGTGGGAGCGTGTGAGTACGCTCACGCCTCCGGTGCCATTTAGTTGGGGCGCTGACTTTGTTAATAAACGCCTAACAAGTACATTTATAGGCTGGCTGTGTCTTAACGAAGGTTTTACTGATTGTAATTTATGCCCGTTTCTACTTGGAGACGGTTAATTAAATAAGACAGCGCAAATAGTATTGAATAGAAAAAAATAAATATAAAAATGAGCTGGTCAGAAAAAATATGATTTTTTGACCAGCTCATTTTTCCTATTTTGGTAGGAAATCACAATTTTTTAGATATAGTGATAGTATTTCCGCATAATAATTCCGTATTCCGTTAAATCACATTTTTTTTTCATCTGGCATTAAAAAATGTGTTGGTCCAAAAAGTAATCTATATTTCATGACCAACTCAGTTTTCTTGTCAAAATAGGGACATCTGGGTAAAACTATAATATCATTTTTTGACCAACATAGTTATCTTGTCAAAATTGGGACATCTGGCTAAAAATAACATCTATTTTTTTGACCAACACAGTTTTCTTGGCAAAATTAGGACATCTGGCTAAAAATTAATATCTATTCTTTTGACCAACTCAGTTTTGTTGTCAATATTGGAACATCTGGCTAAAAATTAATATCTATTTCTTTGACCAACTCAGTTTTCTTGGCAACATTAGGACATCTGGCAACACTGTTTACGGGTTAGCAAAATGCTTTAATTTCCGATGGGGTTTTGCTTCTTCCATAATATTAACATATTCATGATTATATTTGACTGCCTCAGCAGTCTAACGGTATACTTCCGGCGGTCGCGGGTTTGATTCCTCGCATGGTACAAACATTTGTATTCATTAAATTAAAAAAATGTTATTTCTTTAAAAACAATTCAGTTACAATAACATAGTGTTGGGATGACTAAGTAAGCATGGAAATGCCTGTGTCAGGTACATCCCGCTCTTCCATATACATTGTCACATGTGTTTGTTTTTTTTTAGATTATTTAAGACATAGGTTCATGAGTATGATTCTTTGTATCGGTCTGGATGTTTTCTATGTATAATATGTGTGTATTTACAAAAACAATGTATCTATGTATTTATATCAGTTGTCTAGTACCCGTAACACAAGCTCTGCTTAGCTCAAGATTAGGTGGTGCTGTGTGAACTGTACTGCAATATTATATATTATATTATATATTACCTACAGTTCAAGTATGTATGTAGTGTAGTGCTCTCCTTAGTTTGTTTTTTAATTAATATTTATACTTTAAGAACTTCTTACCCTTTTTACGAGAATAATTCGGACAAAGGATCAGTTAAATTTTATTATGGAGAATGAGCGCAAAAAAATCATTTTTTTATAATGATGTTTAAATAATTAATATAAAAATTACTCACGACTTTTATTTATATTTGCTACTAGCTGTTCCCGCGACTATGTGAGCGTGGAATTAACTTTATTTTTCTAAAATAAAAGTAGCCTAAGTTACTCCTTATTACATCAGCCACCTGCAAAAAAAGTCCCATCAAAATCGGTCCAGCCATTTCAGAGATTAGCCAGAACAAACTAACAGACAGACGATAATTGTAGAAAGAGAGATGATAGTAAAAAATGTTATTTTGGTGTATGTAGCGTATCTAAATATATATAGTAAAAATTATTTGTTTGTAAATCTAATATATATCTTTTATTATATATATCTAAATTTATTTTTTTATATATATATCTGATAATATATATATATTTAAGGTTGGCTCACCCCAAAAAATGTTGTTTTTTATTTTTTCCATAATATATATAAAATTCTCGAGTTTCATGTTTATACTGCTCAGAAACGACTTGACCGATTTATATGAAATTTTATATGTATATTCAGTAGGTCTGATAATAGGTTTATAACTATATTTAAGGTTGGCTCACCCCAAAAAATGTTGTTTTTTATTTTTTCGATAACATTTTTTATTTTTATTTCTTTATTTAATAATGCATACAACCTTAAATTTGAACCTATCTACCTCTATTTTTACCTACCAACCTCTATATTTTAATAGTGGTTTTAATTTATATGGCAAAACAACGTTTGACGGCACGGCTAGTATTATTTATATTTCTTCTAGTCTTACCACCAAGGGACGTGGAAGTGACGTCATCGAGTCCTAGAGATGCTCAGTTAATGATAGGGTTGTCTAACAAATACGATGTCTACTTGTGAC